CATAGATCATAACACAGCGAAAAGATGTTCAACCTGCGGAGGCATCCCTTCCACCCTTCCGTCACCCCCCCCCCCAATCGAGGACACTCTTCCGAGAATTCCCTATTCCCTGCCTACGATGGGTGAACAATGTGTGTGCGTGTGAGAGAGAGAGAGAACGGTCTAGTGTAACTCTTTTTACATATATATGCATGTATTTATATATATACATATATATTCATATGTATATATATGCATATATATAAATAGACATATGTGCATATGTATATATATGCATACATATATATATATATATATATATATATATAATATATATCATCATCATTGGGGGGCTAACGCCGGTAGGGGCGCATAGCCGCGTCCACCCTTCGCTTCCACCTGCGAGGGTCTCTCATGGCGAGCCGCCAGGCAGGGGCCCGGCCCATCTCTAGTTCCTCACGACAGGTTTGATCGATCTGCCCAAGCCATGACCTTCTTGGTCGTCCCACAGGCCTCCTCCACCCAGGGTTGTCTCGAACAGAGACAACCTGATGGGCAGGATCATCCTGCGGGAGTCGAGCCAAGTGGCCATATAGCCTGAGTTGGCGATCACGGATTGTGCAAGTAACAGGTCCTGTCCCGGTCTCATGGTGTAGCTGTTGGTTGGACACATGGTCCCGCCAACTGTACCCCATGATCCGGCGCAAGGATCTGTTACAAAAGGCATCGAGACGAGATTCCAAAGCACAAGATAGCGTCCAAGTTTCACTACCATATAGTAAAACTGGGAGTATCAGGGCCTTGAAAACTCGTAGCTTGGTCCTTCTGCACAGGTACCAGCATCTCCAAATACTCTTGTCGAGAGATTTCATGACCCCTGCTGCCAGGCCAATCCGTCTACTGACTTCCTGGTCTGACAGCCCAGAGTCATGAACTGCACTACCGAGGTATATAAAACTCCTAGTGACTTCGATGTTTTCACCGCAAGCACGGACCGACTGCACAGGGTCTCCTATTAGGCCCCCAAAATCCTGGATCTTGGTCTTGGTACAGGAGACCTCTAGCCCCAGGGGCTTCGCTTCATTGCTAAATGCATCAAGAGCCGCCACTAGGGTTTCCAGAGATTCAGAAAGAATGGCAACATCATCAGCAAAGTCAAGGTCTGTAACCTTGATACTGCCCAGAGTTGCTCCACAGTGACTTTGGACAGTAGCTCTACCCAGTATCCAATCCATGCAAGTGTTGAAAAGTGTTGGTGCAAGAACACAGCCTTGCCTCACGCCTGAGCTAACAGGAAAGAAGCTCGACAGGCCCCCACCACACTTTACAGCACTTTCAGTGCCTGTATACAAGTTTGCTATTAGCCCAACAATCCTTGTTGGAATTCCTCTCAGTCTCAGGATCTCCCAGAGTGATTCGCGATGCACCGTGTCAAACGCCTTCTTGAGGTCGATGTAGGCTGCAAGCAGCCCACGTCCGAACTCACGACGGCGCTCTACAATGACTCGAAGCGCCAGGATGCGGTCTATTGTGGACTTACCAGGAGTGAATCCAGATTGCTCCGGTCTTTGGTGCCTCAGGAGGTGGTCTCTGATACGTCTCAGTAAGATGAGTACCTTGCCTGGCACACTGAGCAGTGTAATGCCTCGGTGATTGCTGCAGTCCCACCGATCCCCTTTCCCCTTCCAGAGAGGGATGACCATACCCCTCAGTAGGTCAGGGGGAATGGTACCGGTCTGCCAGATGGCAGACAGGACTGCATGCAAGCCCCTTGCCATAGGTTCTCCACCAGCCTTTAACAATTCAGCTGGGATGCCGCAGACACCTGCTGCTTTACCACTCTTCAGCTTGGAGATCGCCCCCCTGACTTCAGTCAGGGAGGGTGGATCCTCGCTGATGGGTGAGTCTGGCAGAGGAGTCTCAACATTACCAGCATCCAAGTTAACTGTTGGTGGATCAACCTGATACAGCTGCTCAAAATACTCAGCCCAACGCACACGCACCCCATCAGGATCTGTGATTACCTGACCACTCGCTGAGCGGACTGCCGTCATCTGTGAGGAGGGCTTGGAGTTCAGCTTTCTCAGAGCTTGGTAGGCAGGACGAAGGTCATTTACTAGGAAACGGCTTTCGACCTCCTCTGCAAGATTACTGATATACTGTTCCTTATCCCTTCTCAGCAGTGACCTAGTCCTGCGCGCCAGAGAACGGTGCAAATTGCGATCCCCTGACAATCGAGCTGCACGGCAAGCTTCTGTGGCTTCCAGTGTCTCCTGCGAGATGGTATTCTGTCTTGCTCTAGGGCGTACACCAATGGATTCCTGAGCTGCATCAAGCGTTTCACGCTTGAAGGAATCCCACATAACAACAGGGTCTGTCAGGCCCTCGAGTGCTGTGAACCAACCAGAGATAGCCTCAGCAAACCCCCGGGCACACTCATCCTCCCTCAGTCTGTCCAGATGAAACACCCTGGGGTGCTCATTTGGTCGACGGGGGGTTCTAAAGTGGACCCGGAGAGTAGCCACAACTAATCTATGATCAGTTCCACAGAACTCGGCGCTTCGATACACCCTGCAGTTCTGGAGGATCCTCCACCGAGTGCTGACGAGGATGTGGTCGATCTCCTTGGCCACCCTACCCGTATCGCTGTACCAAGTCCAGCGATGCGGGTCAGAACGCTGATACCAGGAGCCAGAGATCCTCAATTTCTGGGATCACATCCGGATACCGCATTGAAGTCGCCTAAAACAATACGAATATCTCGCCGAGGATAACTGTCTGCCACAGATGCAAGTTTGGCGTAGAACATCTCTTTCACCTCAAGTTTATATACATCCGTAGGAGCGTACATAGCAGTAAGAGACATGAAGCCAAATGACAGCTTCAGTCTCAATACCATTATACGCTCATCGACTGGAGTGACCTCTACTACCGAGGGTTGAAGTCGGCTGGAGATGGCTATGGCTACTCCCTGAAGATGGTGGCCATCGCTGCAGCCCGACCAGTAGTAAGTGTAGCCACCCACACTAATCGTGCCGCTGCCAGGTCTTCTCACCTCCGAGAGAGCAACCACCTCAACTCTCAGCCGCTTCAATTCCCTCGACAGTAGTGGTAACCGATCATCCTGTCGCAGGGAACGGACGTTCCAAGCCCCCACCCTGACAGCCCGCCTGAGGTTTAACCTCTGGCAGTCACTCCGGGTGGGCGCCACCTCTGCCACCCCCACTGACGCCGCCCCATATAGAGGTTGGCTGGCTGCAGGTCCCCTAATCCACCTGCAGGGCTCCCGTGGGCTTTCCCCCACAAGCATCACGCCAGGCTGGCGGCCGCTGGGACCCAGAGGGGATGAAGGGTAACCCCCCCTCCTCGCCTGAGTCCCAGCGGTCGCCAACCCAGAGGGACCCACAGCCTGCCGTTCTTGCTGGGTGGGAGGGGCTTTAGCCCTCCCCCCAGCACCAACTTCTTTATGGCTCGTTGACAGTTTGGTTGTCTCGGAGGTGCAGACTGGCAAGGCCTGCCCCCCCACAGCCGCCCCTTAACCCCGGGGGGCACGGGGGCAGGAGTTGGTACGAAGCCAGGGCGTGTCCACACGCCGGTGGGCCATGACTCCGTACCTTTAGGGCCTCCTGCTGCTCCAAGAGGCTTCACAATTCAGCCTAGGACCGCAAGGTACCTAGTTTCCATGGGTGGCCACGAGGAGGCACTGCAGAAGTCTTGATGATGGAGAGGCTATGAGCTGGCAGGGGAGTCTTATGCAAAGCTGCTCCCTTTTCGCACCAGGCTAGCCAGCGGTGGCAGCTGCAAGCGAGAAGGCATGCAAGCTCTTAACACTACTTAGGCTTCCACACCATCGCTTCACATCACCCACGAGCATGAAGCACCCACCCACTATATATATACATATATATGCACATATATATATACATATATATATGCATATATATATGCATATATATGTATGCACATATATATATACATATATATGCATATATAGATAGATATACAAGTGGATATGTATATATATATATATATATATTACATATGAATACATACATATATGAATATAAATATATATATAAATATGATATATATATAAATATATATATATATGAATGTGTGCGTGTGTGTGTGGGCGTTAACACTTTTTTAAATATACGCATATATATATATATATATATATATATATATATATATATATATATATATATATATATATGCATATATATGTATATATGTATATATTACATGCAAATACACACATACATAAATATGAATATATATAGATAGGTAGATATAGATATGTGTGTGTGAGTGTGTATATTCAGACACATTCACATACACACACACATACACACATACATACACACACATATATATATAAATATAATAACTGAAGAAATATATAAAACAATGACAAAAAATACTGATTAACTTCCCTTCCAAAGCGGTGTATGGAAGATCCCTATTCATAATTCAGCATTCCTTAACCCCCTGGTGCCGGGTATGACGTGTACGTACGTACCGTGAGTACTTGTTTGATTGTTTTTACGCATAGATGGCAACACTTGTACTAATTCCCCAATGAGCCCGTTTACCCGTTTCTTTGATTTACGAAATATTTTACGTAATCTTATTTTGCTGTTACTAATGTTAAAAAAATATATAAAAAATATAATGTTTATGATAAAAATAACACTAGTGAAAAATACGTTTTTCCCGCCATTTAAATCAGGCCCTAGCAGAACCATCTATCGGCAGACATTTCACGAAAAACATAGAAAGTGGCCACAATATTTCCCCCATTTTTTGTTAATTTTCCCCGGCACCATTGGGTTAAGACGCGCGGCAATGAATAATGTATTCTACGTGACTCAGTGTTCCCCGGTGCAGAAGGGACAAGCCCCGGCTCGCTGGAGCAAACGTTTTGAAAAGCCACCAGTGGGAAGATCTTGTTCATGACGTAGGGGAGGCCGGACGATAAAAGCAACAAGGAGAAGTCTACTGTATCAGATTGCGGAAAGCACATACAGCGGCCGCATCTCATACCTACGTGTGCGAGTGCGACACATAGAGAGAGATACTTTTGAGGTACTTCGAGGCTTTCAATAGGACTGTTACAGTTTCATAATGGATTACGGACACGACAGTCTTGAGCCTTCCTTCACCTCACCTGAACCCTTGGTCGCCAGTGGAGGAAATATAGATTCTCTGTGCGAAACTTATTTTAATGACGTTGGATTTTATCCCGAGGACCGGCATTTCTGTCCACAGAAGACCATGGAAGCCAATAACTGGAGACTTGGGGTTAGTAGACTTTAGTGATTAGTTTGGTGAAATGTGTATTTTTTAGTTTAGCACATCTGCTAAAGATTGATAGATATAGACAGATATATACATATAGATGTTTAAGTTCAGCTAGATGTGTTCAGATAACAATACGCTGTACGCATATGAGAGGATATTCAAGGATTCGAACGCGAACACTGAATATTTGTGATATGTCATTTAACATTCAAGTCCAATTGTAGGCAGACCAAGCATCCGAAGCGTACGATGACTACGGCGCTTCGGCCTCCTACTACGACGTCAACGACTGGAAGCTTTCCGACGAAGCCCTCCACGACCTGAAGCCCTTCCTGCTGGTCGAGGAAGAGTGGTCTCCACAGCAAGAAAGCAATTACGAAGCGCTAAGCTACGAGGCGTCAGACCTGCCACTTCAGAACCTAGATAATTTAGCGTTGGATGACAAGCCATACGACGGTGAGTGTGACAGAGATTAATTTTCGGTTGGGGGGGGGGGGACTACTCTGTGGGATACATTTTGGGCTTGAGCAAACTCCACTGTGCACACCATCCACTCATCTGGTGCCTTCTTCACTATGAAAGCTGGTAGTTTTATTTTTAGCTTTTCATTTCATAGTTTTACATGGAACTATTACAAACAATTACATGTAAATATATAGTTATTCTAAACTAATCATTAGAACTCTAGAAATCAGAACCTGAACTAATCGATGCCTTAAATACATTAACAGGATTTAATGGTGAGCTTCGACAGTCTCTGTGCCCACCATCCACTACAGAGTATTCGTCTCCAGAGCCAATGTACTCTTCCACCGGCGCCCACATACCTGTTAACGAACCGCAGTTCATCTCACAGCCTCCCAATATCCTGGAGAAAATACCTTCAAAAAGAAAACGAGGTAGGCTATGCTTCTAGTACTGAAACAAAAGTAATAGAAACTTGTACACATTCACGTAATTCAATATTATATGCCGGATTATAAGAACAACTGTTGCTTCCTCAGTTCGAGGTCCCAAAAACTGGGAGTTCCTGATCCGGCTACTGGCAGACAAGCGAACGAACCCGTCTTTAATTCGCTGGGAAGATGAGTCTACGGCGACCTTCCGTCTGGTTCAGCCTGAAAAAATCGCACAGATGTGGTCCACACGAACGCCAGATTCGCCTCCTTTAACTTATAACAATTTTGCTAGAGGTCTCAGGTAGGTTCCTGTAAATACTGGCGAATCAGATAAACCCTGACTCGCCATATTTATAAGACCACGGATAGAGAATGTACATAAAATAAACCACGCACATTTACAAGTTTACAAACCAAATTAAGCTTCGCAACATTATCTAAGTATAATTTCCTCTCATAGGTACCACTATAGCAGAGGCGCCTTACAACCAGTGTCAGAAAAGCAGCTGGTGTACTGATGTGGGCCCAAGGCTCTCCAGTACCTGATCGACCTGCGCAAGGGTTCTTCCTATGAAGATGTTTAGGATGAGTAAGACGAGAAAAAGCAATGAGGAAGCCTCGGTGTGGATTACGTGCCAAGTCAAAAAGAGAGTGTGAAATGTGTTCTTCAGATTGAAGTGA